GAACACCAAGTTGAAACCCCATGTCTGATCTTATCCCTCCAGATATGTTTACAAGACAAGGTAACTTTTGCAGTCCTGTACAGCTCGTATATACGCCTATTCCAACTTTGTTTTGCTGTCTGCAATGCTACATGTACTTCCTTGTGTATTGCACAAGTACGAAAGCCCGCGAGTGCCATCACTTTATATTGTCGAGAGCAGTATTTTGTCCGAGAGCATTTTTAAACAAAAATAGTTTTGCCACCCCCTTTTTAATTTTTGAGAGCAGTTATTATTTTTTCCCAGAGCAATTTTTGTAACAGGGACATTCCGCGATCTGGCATGTAATCCTTGTTGTACTTATAATATATAAAATAAGGCAAGGCCCGCCACCAAAACAAAATAAAAAAAAAGAAAAGAAAAGTAAGATTTTGAACCGCCGGCACCCTCTTTTGACCAATAGTGAACTGGCATTTCTCACATCCCGCGAGTCGTCACCATGCTTTAGCAACGGGTGGTTTCCCGATTTAATATTGCAATAGTATATACATGTACATGCTCAATGTAACATTGATTAAGAAAATAAGATAGGTCGGGCAGATACCAGGTCTACATTAAGTCATTGCGTAGTTCTTCACAAAATGTATTTGCATTCCACTTGAATTTTTTTGTACCAGTTTACTTAACCCCGAATAAACACAGCCAGTTCGTGTTTCGTTTTCATTCCGTTTCGGAGTTTCGTTTTGATCTGGAAACCACACACATAAAATACCTTTTGATATTTCCATCCTTCTATTCTAATTGATTTTAAGTTCAAAATTGCTCTTTATAAATGACCACAGGTGTTTATTTAGATTTTAGAAGTAAATGTTCAAAGAGTATAGCGCGATTCTGCTGTTCTGATGAGTCCCCATTGATATAACAGTCATTACAGCATAGCAAACTACATCACCAATTTTAGTATCAATTTCAGTTTCGAACAATCTATTAAACCATCATTTATAGACGTCCCTACTCGAGACAACTCTTCGGCTTGCTCCCCCCCTCAAAAAAGAATTAAAAAAAATTACAAGCTTAAATTCCTGAAATATAAACCGTATAAAATATTAACTCAGCATATTTAAGCGACTTCCGCTAGTTGGCGCTTATCACGCAGGGATAATTGCCGACAGACTACAGTTTGGCTGCTTGGCCGGCAAAAGCAACGAACGACTCACTCTATTAGTACTACTCATGTTTTAGTTTCGAGATAAAAACAATTAAATGCAACGGGAATGAACACGCCAGCGCAAAATGTCCCCCGCGTCATTAAAAAGATCAGGCAGGTACGCTCTAAACCGACTGAACCAGCTTTGCCGAACATATTTACAAGCAATAGACATTGATCAACGCGCTTTCTATGTTTGTATGTTTCCTTCTTATTTGACGGGTGTTACGATAGGGCATAGTCCAACCTCGTCCCCAGGGTGTCGAACAGTACGCGCTCATCACTACCTGCTCTCTCACCCTGGTATTGGATCATTTGCATGTGCAAGATTTTTGAACGCGTATGCAAATGAGGAACAGTCTGGTGCCTGGATATGCGTTACATTAGCGTTTGTTTTTGTATGCGGTGTCTGGGGTAAAAACAGAGTCAATTCGTCGCAGCGCGAGCACGGCGTAAGTTACGAAAACACGATTTTTTAATTAAACAGTTACGATCTTATATCGAGACAACCATTTCGAGTAGGCGTTGACGAATGATCGCGAAAACACGTACTGCACGTTGTGAATAATAGCACCAAGTACACGATAAAAATCCATTACTAGCCAATTGCGGTAACGAATCAGGATTCAGGAAGAAAGTTTCCTATCCAAGGCCTTCTATTGGAAATTAGGTTGGAAATAAAGTGAGCACTGGGGACGAGGTTGGGCATAGTCCTGTATGGTGCTATTTCCTTTATGGAGGGTACCAATAGGAGGCGCTATTTGTTTTGGGTAAAACCTTTTTGTAGGACGCCCTCCTATTGAGTATGCCATTATTTGCTATATAGACCTTTCTTTAGTTGTAAACATTGGCGCCATTTTGTATGGGCTGCCGTAAGCGTATAAATTGAAGCCGTGGTTGGCAACATATTTTTCCCCAAAAGTCCTCATAACGCCATCAACACATAGTAAAAAGGCATATGTCATTCTTCATTTTTGCAGTGTTGAACCTTCCATAGTTTTGCAGGCCGGGGTTGGCAAAAATGCAGTTTGCCAACCAAGCGCAGAAAGGTCTATTATTTCAAAGTATCTACGCAGATCAGTTAGATTGTTACAATAAGCTCCCTCTTGTGTGATGACGTACTTCCTACTTTTTTGGCTGTAAAAGGTTTCATGAACACAGAAGCGTCGTCAGACAACTTTGAAGGGGGGGGGGGGGCTGATACCATATTCGCCGACGGACCATCAGTGCTAAACGGACACCCGGCATCTGAAACACACACAAAATAAAAAAAGGGGGGGGGGCTTCACACCATCTTCCTATGATGGACAATAATCAAACATTAAGGGGGGCACTTCATACCGGTGTACCGTGAACTTAAGAAAATATTAAATATGGACTCATTGGTAGTATTGCGCATGACTCATGGTTGATGAATAGGAGAGTGCCCGGTCACGTTTAACCAAGGAGTCCGATTTACATATGACACCGGCGCATGTTAATGGGGTAAATGGTGGTGAACACGTATGTAAATGAGCAATAGTCTGGTACCTGCCTGTGCGTTACATTTGCGTTTGTTTTTGTATGCGGTGTCTGGGGTAAAAACAGAATCAATTCGTCGCAGCGCGAGTGTAGGCCTTTCTTTTGTTTGTAAACATTGGTGCCATTTTGTATGGGCTGCCGTAAGCGCATAAATTGAAGCCGTGGTTGGCAACATATTTTTCCAAAAAAGTCCTCATAACGCCATCAACACATGGTAAAAAGACATAAGTGGGAATTATTTTGTAGCTTTGTTGAAAATGTTGTATTTTCAAATATCAAATAATATTTTGGTGATCTGTAATAACTCTTCTTCATTTTTGCAGTGTTGGACCTTCCATAGTTTTGCAGGCCGGGGTTGGCAAAAATGCAGTTTGCCAACCAAGCGCAGAAAGGTCTATAGCGTGAGTTACGAAAACACAATTTCATTTTAATGAAACTGTTACGATCTTAACGAGACAACATGCAGTATACACATTTCATATTAACATGAACAAATTGGAAACGAAATGAATATTTTCGGGAAGGCGTGGGCGAATGATTGCGAAAACACGTACTGCACGTTGTAAATAAGAACACCAAGTACACGATATAATTCCATTTCTAGCCCATTGTGGTATCGAATCAGGATACAGGAAGAAAGTTTACTATCCAGGGCTTACTACTGGAAACGAGGTTGGAAATTAAGTAAGCACTGGGGACGAAGTTGGCACACATATAATACCTCTGGATTTTCACATCCTTTCCATCATTGGATTTTAAGCCGTATAATTACTCTTGAATGTCATTTTTTTTCCATTTTAGAAGTATTATTAGCATCAAAATACAATGTAAAATGTTAAAGAGCATCCAGAACGATTCCGTTGTTTACAACAAGTCCCCATTGTCCGTTTCATCAAAAACTGATGATGACATTTTTAACTATCACTTCAAATGCATGTTAGTCTACTAAACCATGTAAACTGTGCAGGGAAAATGGTGTGTGGATAATAATAAGAAACTGAGAGACTTTCCTCCCCACGTGAGCTGAGAAAAATCAGTTATTCAACATATTTAAAAATGGATTTAATCGTACACAAATGCGCACCTCATTTAATGAATTACTTCAAACTGTGTACAAATATTAGATTGCTAACGTATCTAGCGTGACGTCTCTAGTGGGCTTCTTTTAGAATCGTGTTGTTCGTGATACATTTAAAACCCGACTGACTGGTCCTGGCTTCAGTTCACGTCAGACTGAATATTTTTTTTTCTATACATGATTTGGGTTAACTTACCATCTTTAAAGCAACCTATTTGATAATAATTTCTGAGTAATTCTTAATAGTGTAGTAAACACGCAACAAAAATAAGCAGCTTTACTAAACAAGTTTAAAATAAAGAAAGATTTTCCCTACCATAATTTTTTTTTGTTTTACTCTATGTTCGGTTTTTAAGACCTGACGTAGATATCTTAACTAATATATGGAAGGCAAATTAAGCCTTAGCAAATGTGGTAAGAATCTAACCAGTGCATTATTGACAAATAATTCCAATCTCTTCAAATCAATGTCATCTCTGTTCCGATCCTCAGTAATCTCTTTAAGTTTTTTTTAAATGAAGAATTTTAGTCGTGAGTTGAAGTTGCCATGAATTTGCTTTGGTATTAAATTACAAGATATATACATCAACGGCCTAAACATTACTTATTCCGTGTAACTGAGTAATTACATGTATATATTGCAAACATAAGGAAATAGCTGGATATGAATCTATTTTTTCGCCTATTGTTTGATAATTGTTCTCCGTTTTTTGTTTTACTGTTAAAATGCATCTTTATATGTAACGATGCCTAAATTCAACTAAATTTTGATTACATGCTTCAAAATTCTACTAATTTCTACTACTGGTTATTGTTTTAATTTGTATGGTATTCTAAATTGAGTCATTTTTATGCGAGTCCAACATTACAAATTCCTGTGATTGTTTTTTAATCATTTGCTAAATAAATCAATCTTAATCTTAATCTTAAAATGTTTACAATCACATTATACATGTATAATGCTTTATAACTAAAAGTGGGATTGTGTGTATCCTTAAAAATGCATATACGTTTTGGAACACATGCTTTCGGTACCTTTGGATTGAAAATGATAAAACCAGAAAAGTTTGGAAGTTTAGGTATCTCAGTAAATCTTATACATACATGAATTATTAGTGTCGCGTAGAATCATTAATATGGGCACACCTTCCATATTTTGTTTCGAAATTAAAAACTACTGAACGACTTATTCATAATACTTGAATAACTTCATTATTCGAACATAAAAACGATCATCATGGTCATCTAGTTATCGTCAAAATCGTGCTTGATGACGAAATTCTCGTAGACAGTCGCGGACACGTACACCTGTATATAAATCAAGGTTAATGAACCGAAGTGCATCATTGAAAGTAGCAGGAAATTATCTTCCAATTTAAAAAAAAACATAACTTCAATCTAAAAATATGTAAATGTTATTGTAAAGACATCTTGTAGCATCGAGAATATAAACAGAAATCGAGTTTGAAAACTAGTGTTCGTTACGAATTTGTCACAAAAAAAGGCTTATGAACATTGCAACCCAATTAAACCCCTTTTCAAAACAATGGTTAACATTAATGTTGGCATTAGCTCCCCTACATAATACGTACATTTGCATCCGGTTTGCTGCTGATTTCCTCCAGAATTTCGACCAGTTTTCTGAAACTGGGTCGGTTGCTAGGTTGCTCCTGCCAGCACTTCAACATCACATCGTAACTTGGTAAAATATCGAGGAGAAAACAATTATAAGACCCAGCTTGACAAGTAATAAAAAAGTAGTCAAGTCAAAATGGATATAAAAAATTGAGACATACAAAGACGAGCTTATGAACTTTTGGGACTCTTTATTTAAAAAAAAAATATGATTAAGTAAATAAAGTTAAATCCGTAAACATACTGATGAAGAAGAGCAAGACTTATTTTATTTACTTACATTTCATCAGCGCAGTTGTCCGGCTTGGGCATGCGGTATCCATCCAGCAGTCTTTGGGCCAGTGACTTGCTCTCAATACCAGGGTATGGAGTGGATCCTAAAACAAAGAATCGTGGTGAGGAAAATCAGTAAGTTTAATACCACTTCCTGCAAAATAATCATTAACCTTCAACCCTACCAACAACAGATTAAAGTAAATAGTGGAAGTAAGGTTTATGGCCTATTAATGATTAAGCCATTACAAAAAATATATATCAACATATCATGGTCATGGTTACTATTTTTCATCGTTACTATTTTTCAAAGTCTAGCATGAAAACGGCATTGTCAATTGTTTTCTTTTTATGATATAATGCGATGCATGCAGACTTTAGACACAATGCTTCAACTAAACAAAAGAAAATTAATTCACGTCTTTATTGGATACTCACGGCATGTAACAGTATCAGTAACCTAGGACATTGATATAAAAGCCACAATATTCCACAGAATACGATGGGAACAGACAGTTAAATTAAAGTTCAATGATAAAACATAAGATGGAAATGAAAGATACGAAGTGAAGCACCTACCGTACGTAACGATCTCCCAGAGTAAGATGCCAAAGGACCACCTGGAATGTCGATAATGCGAAGAGAAACAGAAGACGGACAAAACTTTAAAAAAAATCAATTTAACTCTTCATTAACATTACGTCTTACCATTTATTAGAAACAGAAAGTGCTTAGAGTTCAAATTCTAGCAGTTTATTAAGACATTTTGTTGGTATTCTTTCCAAGACAAAATTATAGTTTTAAACTTACACATCGCTCTTGGACTTGTAGACACGACGCGTCAATGATTCGATGGCCAACCAGCGAACGGGAATCCTGGTCTAAAAACAAAATGACCTTTAAAGTAACTATAAAGGAGTTCAAATTTAGGCAGCAAAAATCCACTTGATGCAGTTCCAATATTGAGAAAGAAAACATTTTAGTTTTTGAGGAACCAAAGAATGAGAAAATATTTCACACCCTAAGGAAAAATCTTCCTTTTATTTGTGTTATATTCTCTTTGACTATAGAGTAAAACAAATTACCGAAGATTTCTGGACATAGATGTCTTCTCCTCTGGAAAGGCCAAAGTCCGACACTTTGGCGGTCAGATCTTCAGAGAGAAGGATGTTCCTTGCTGCCAAATCACGGTGGATTATCTAAATACAAAATATTTATCTTGGAACTTTAATTGTCGACCATATCAAAATCGTCCCTTTCATCGACAGTTACGATATTTAAAAAAAAACACGCTATCCTAGATTTGACGAACGGGATCCATTTTTGCAGCACTTTGATTTAAAAACGCATATAGCTTATCCATTTTTGAAAATTGTGTTGATCATTCGTTGAATTCGTAGCTCACCCCCGTGTTGGACAGATGTTCCATTCCTTTGGCCACATCCAGACTAAACTTGAGCAGGTTGGAAGAAGTCAGCGGTGACACATCATCTTGAGAGCCATCTGCCCCTTGCTGCTTAGGGCGAGTACTCCTCAGATAATCCCGGAGGTTGCCATTAGGTAGAAACTCAAGCGCCACGTACAGAATTGCTATCAACACAATGGAAACATATTGTCTTGGTTTGATAAAACTTCCTCCCATGAAACTTCAAATGTTGACCATCGCGTACAAGTTGTGCAAGCCCTCGCAAAGATCTACCTTAAGTTGTCTTTGCACTTGTTAATACGCATTGTCACTTGTGAACGAATGAGTGCCCGCAATTAGAAAGTAATATGGTGCTTTACAGGTATTATCCCTGTTCATTGGGTCATTAGATCAACGCAATATGCTCTGTATACCTTCGCATGTACCTATTTATTCTCCTAGGTGGAGAGAGGCAATCATGGTCAATTGTCTCGTCCAAGAACACAATCACAATGTTCCTGTCGGGGTTCGAGCCCAGGTATTACGGCACATCAGTCACGTGATGGTAGGACAGTAAAAACAAAACAGGTTTGGGTAAATGACTTCATATGTACCTTCATGCATGCATGCACCCAGTAGACCAACGATATTGGGATGGGGCTCAATGGCTGCCATCGTCTGTATTTCCTTCAGAAAATCATCCCGTGTAGATTCTGAAACACTCCCTGTGCACAGATACATATTTGATTAAAATAGGTTTTAATGGAATAAATAATATGTGCTTGGCCAATTTTAAACAACTTCGTTTTAAACCGGCATGGTGCCCGGAGTGCGAGATGTGGCGCAGAATGAGGCGGTACAGGTGTAGTGGAATTTAGGATTCCACCAAAATACAGCAATGCGTAAAAAGGACCAGATTTCACAGGAGTCAAAATTTCATGTGACACCGCAAAAGTGTTTTAAACCAGTCAGCCAATCGGGAGCAGTTTGGTGAATGATTTCATATTGATATTTGCATATTAATACAAACAATTCACGTGTATTTCAATTTATGACATGAATAAAAGTAAGAAATTAATTATTTTTACATTAACATTTACATTACATTTCAGACTGTCTTACCTTTCATTGTTTTGATGGCTGCTTTGGTGACTCGGCCTCTGATCCTCACGCCTCCTGCCCGTACCTCGCCGAAGTTACCCTTACCAAGAATCTCATCATCGATGATCAAATTCCCCCGTTTGATTTCCAGTTTAGACGCCCAGCTTGGGAGAATCCCAACATTTTCGTATGCAACGGGGTCGGTGTTGTCCATATGCCTACGTTGTGACTCCCTTTTGTTGATTGCAGTTTTTGGGTTTTCAGATAGAACCTGATAAATAATAAATTGAGTTCAGAAAAAAACATAGCGTGAAGGGGAAGCCTAGAATGTTTGTAAGGGATAGGAAGGGATCAAATATACAGTTCACTGCTTATAGACAATTTGATACCTGATGACTAATTACCATTTCAGTAGCAGTTTCCCGGGGGCGAGCTGCGATGCGTTTTTTCCACAAGATGAATGCAACGACGCAAATCACAAACAAGACGGAAAAGAGAACTCCGAGAACAATAGCTGCGATATTTGGTCCCGAACTTGATTCTTGTACTTAAAAAAAGAACACCAGAGGTATGTATTTATAAGAAATACCACATTTACTTGCGGGACGATCCTAATTCAAAAGTTGAAATTGCTTACTTATCATGGGATGACTGTTTCTATTCGTTCGTTGTCTCATTGGAAAACTCATAACTGATGTAATGCTAGAAAACTATTAATTCAATTTGAACATTTTTTTTCAGGGTGCCACAGCTTTATACCTTACCTGTGACTGTAAGTGGATCCGAAAATGCAACATAGGCCTCCTGTCAAAAAACACACAGAGAACCTTATTTTAAAGCAAAGCAGTTGTTTGAGATCATGAACGTATCTTTTTATATCGTATCTAACATACTGAGTACACAGTGTTTATACGTCGGTGAAGGGCAAAACCTAATTTGATGTACTTTTTATGATAGGCGCATTTTTTCTATTGAAATAGAAGAAAACAAGTGATTTTCAAACGTTACAAACGTTGTTAATAATCACCTCCTAAGCCAACAGTGTAGAAGGTAAAAGCATTCCTTGAAAAAAATCGTACAAATAATGAATGAATGAATGCTTAGGGTTTCATTTTGGGCAAGGGTGTAATTTCGAGTACGAGTACTCGTGTTGTAATATAACGTACAACTTTTCCTATTCAAAGCACGTACCGATTCGTTGCCCTTACTGACAGACCCAACACGAATGTTGTACACAGCACCCGTTTGCAGCGGGGCGTTATAGTAACCACCGTACATTTTGGTGTCCCCCACTACAAATTTGTCGGGCACGCCCCCTTTAGGGAGTTCTGCTGCTATGTAGTCATTGGGGGAATCCTCGAAATGACTTGGAATAAGAACATCTCTCCTGGTCACAGATGAAGACCTGGTTTTCTTGACATGAACGACGTACGATCTGCAGTACAACGAATTCCAATTGCTAAGAGCTCGGTTATTGTTATGGGAATTACACATACAACAAAAGAAAAAGCAGAAACTTAAATGTATGAAAAACACATACAAATTCAGGAATGTTGAATTCTTATTTTACTGTTTCCTGTCAAAACTGAAGCAGGACATTGTACAATCAATGTAAAATTCCAGTTTTATTAATTCGGAGCTTATCAGATACTCTACGACATATGAGGATCGGTTACTGTCCTGCGCGAATGCAGTAATAATACGTGAAAACTGTTGGTAGTTATAAACGAATTGGTTCATGTTTTTTTTTTCTTGAAATATTTGAAGACTCGATCGGTGTTATGTGTGATCCCAAAATGATACTCACTCAATGAAGTCATCACCAGATACTGCGGTAGTTATACTAATAGTGACGGTAGTATCTGTGGTGTCTTCTTGGTTTGAAATCGGCTGCGGTGGTGCAGGCAAATCTATGAGTAATTGCTAAATGGTGTAATCATTGTATGATAGTTTTCACTATCAAATTTATGGACAATTAAGGTGGCGCCATTTTGATCTCCTCAATTTTAAAACAGCTTACGGAAAATGACAGAAGATTTGCTTTAATTTCCGGCAGTAATTTATTGTTTATGCCATGAGGTTGAATCTGTTTCTATCAGTTATTTCTTTCACCCTAGCTACATAACATTTTGTATGCTGACATTGAAAATACCATTACATACATAAACTTATGCAATTACATTGTCTTACCTGATTGTGGTTTGGTATAAACTTCCAAGACTGTATCGGGTCCTATGAACAACTGATTCTCCGCTGCCACTCTGAACTCATACTTTGTACCAGGTTCCAGATTTTCTTTCACAAATGGCGGACTCTCCACCTCGATTCGTGAGTAATCGTCAACTGCAGTGCTCGTCTTGACCTGTGAATGAGGTCTGTATGATCAATTTCGAAATATTATTCAACCTAGACAGGTTTCTGTGGCCTAAATTATATTTTTTCCTTTATATTCGAAGCGAGATTGAGTGTCGTAATTCGTCCAGAGATTGGTTTGGTCATTCTTATGGGGTACAAAAGTGTTTTGTAAGGAAGAGATTTTCATCCACGTCTGATCTTATGGTGACTGAAATGTACCTGGGTGATGATTTAATTTCTAACGACTCATGCAAAGCTCCATTCTTGCCCAGGAAGTGTCAATAAAGTATTATAATTTAACTATATTAATATTTATTAAAAGAAGTTAAAAAGACGTACAACGTATCTTTGGATCTGTCCTCTTGGTTGTATCAGTGGCTCCCAGTCTAAGGTGATTGTGGAATCAGTCCTGTCGGTCCAATGAATATTCTGGATAGGTCCAGGTACTGAAAAGAAAAACCACACACACCTTCAGTTAAATATGAAATAATTTCATAAATGTGCATCAGCTATTTAATTAAAATCAAATTCTCAACATAAAGATTACCTAAGGCCTTTTCTGAATTAACGGGGCTATGCAGGCTCAACTGGCGGTCTCCCAATTTGTCATTACTTCCTGTTTATCCAGTAATTCCAAATTGTACGAAATGACTGATATACCTACCTCCTACGTAGGTCGTTGCAGTTACTTCTGCACTCCAGGGTCCTGCACCAACTGACGTCTCGGCTTGCACCTGTCAATGATTCAGCTATAAACATCACAATTTTGAACCGACCGAGAAACCGACAAGAAATGATGAGTCAATGAATTAAAGAAACGTGAATATTAAAAAAGAAATAATAATAATAATTTCCACTTGAATCACGCTGGTTTGAATGTTTCCTTTTATCAATACAATGAATTTGCAATCAGATAATGAAATTATAAGTCTGATAAATAAGAATATTGAAATAACCTGCACGAGGTAAGTAACGTTCGTATCAAGGCCCGTTATATCATGCATCAACTGCACCACGTCGTTGATAACCGTTGGGTTTCCTGACTGTCCACTCCTCCAGTACCTAACGTTGTAATTGGAGATGATTCCTTGTGGAGGGTCGGGCTCTGACCATTGGAGAGTGATGGATACGTCATCAACGTTCTGAATGACGACATTCAAGGGAACTGTGGGCTCTGTTGAATAGTGTCCAAAAATCAAGCAAATAGGGTGAAGTTTAAGAAGGCATTATGCAAGCGTTAGTAATGATGGCTAAAGGCAGCCAATAACAAGGAACTTTGATCAAGGTTTAGTTCATGGTAGTTTTAAACAGCACACACCCGCTTCATCAGTTCTCTGAACGACGACGCCACTATACGGCCCGAACCCAACACTGTTGTTTGCGGCAACTTGAAAACTGTAGTCAGTGAAGGGGATTAAGCCATCTATCTCAACTTGTTCGGCTGTTGATACATCTAAGATGAGTTGTGATCCTGGTCCACTCAGCGTGTACGTGTAGCCTGTGATGATGCCACCTCGGCTTCCACACGCTGGCTGATTCCAGGAGAAAGTCAGGCTACGTTTCGCCGTTGAAGTGACGGTCACTTGCTGTGGTGGAGCAGACGGTTCTGAAGAAAAATCAGTCAGATTGAATTAAGTTGGTCCACATCTGCTTGTTTATGGTGCAAACCTCAGGTAGTACGCCGTGTACTGACAGTTTGGCTCATAGAAAATAGTCTTACCTTTGGTACCTGTTGGAACGCTCACTTGTGCTAGTATACCCTCGCTTCCATCCACAAAGGCGCGGACCCGCATCTCATATATCGAATTGACCAAGAGATTTGGTATTACCGTCGAATTAGTTCCAGAACACTGGCAGTGCTGGATGAAGTTTAGCGGGTAGATAGTTTCACAACCATCTTTGTTTGTCAGTGCATACTGGACGGAGTAGTTGGCACAATACACCTCACGCCAGCTGAGTGTGATACTGGCAGAATCGTAAGAAGTCACCACCACAGGGGAAACGGAAGGATCTGGGAAAAAAAGTGAGACAACTCAAGGAGCGTTTAATCGCAGGTTGTCTTAAATTATCTTTGAGTGCTTACAGCTAATGAGCACATAGAAAAATTGCTGTATTTAATTATGGATGTGAGGAAAAGTGGTTCGATCTACTTACTATCATCTCTTAGTGTGGTTTCAGATGTCGACACATCAGGTCCTTCCGTACTACTGTACTGTGGGCGAATGTAAACCATATAGGTTGAACGAGATATCAAACCAGTGATGACATGACTGGTAGTTTGACCATCGACTGGACCTGGAAGTGGTACCCGCTGTGGAGATTCAATCTCTTCACATTGGCCCCTGTTCGTCAATGCATACTCCAGTATGTAGCCAGAGACACATGCATCTGGTTGCCAGGAAACTTGGAGTTGATGAGGATCGTCTGAAAGCACTTTTAGCCCCAGAACGCCATTGTCAGCTACAATTAAAGAAAGGGTGTAATAATTGCACAGATCAGTTAAAATGTTCCGACAAAGGTAATGTTTATATTACAGGTGAGACAGTGTTGCTGATTAAGGCCTACATGACGAGTTACTTCAGTGTAGGATATGGCGTGCCATTCGCGTTTATTCAATTATAGTATAATGAAAATCATCTTCCAAAAGTAATCGTGCCTATTTCAACAATTGGACTAATATGCTTCTGGTTTTTTTTTTAACTCTCTTAACCCTTCGCGTGCTAATTTTTGGCGCTGTGATTTTAGTCGGCTGCATGGAATCAATCCATGACACAATGTAATTTGAGCTACCCGGCCCTCAAAGTCCACCATTCACCCAGATTAACCCCTGGTATCACTCAGGCCCTATAAACAGTCAATAAAACCAGACACTAACCTCCTCAATGCCATTTGACAGTTCCATTTTTGCCACAGGGGTGATCGAGGTAATCCCTATGTGAACAATGCATTTGTACACAAGCCTATGTAAATGTGCACAAGCACACTAGGTTTTCCCGCCAATTTCCAACCCCTCCAGTAGGATCAAAAGACTTACACCCCCTCTAGTGGATGTACAATGGTCCATACTAGGATCTAGTGATAGATGACCTGGGCATGGCTACCACGTGGTTGGGACAATAAAAAAACAAAGAAATGTGGAAGTGAGTTTTTTTTTTAACCACTTGTCTACAATATAACATTTATTCAGATTACATATAAGTGGTTAGAGTATAAAATAGATTTTCTGAACTTACTAGAACACTGACAGTTACTTCCGAAATATGGTGGTACGCAATCTGGAAATAAAAGATACAAGACCATGTATAAGCTTATAGTAAAATTTGTTGTGAAACGTTCCTTTCTCAAGAGATTCTGTTTTGTGACTTCAACATGGCATTTATTCAAGAACTGACGAATGACACGTGTAATGAGAAGCGCCAAGTTACAAAACGTAAACACTGAGAGAGGGCGCTATTTGGCTATAATGAATAACGCAATGAACAACCTCGTCCCCAGGGTGTCGATCAGTACGCGCCCACCACTACCTGCTCTCTCACCCTGGTATTGGATCATTTGCATGTGCAAGATTTTTGCACACGTATGCAAATGAGGAACAGTCTGGTGCCTGTATATGCGTGACACATAAGCGTTTGTTTTTGTATGGGGTGTCTGGGTTAAAAACAGAGAAAATTCGTAGCAGCGCGAGCCCGGCGTGAGTTACGAAAACACGATTTTTGACATCAAACTGTTACGATCTTATCAAGACAACATGCAGTATCATATTTCATATTAATATGAGCAAATTGGAAAGGAAATTAGTATTTTTGAAAGGGCGTGGACGAATGATCGCGAAAACACGTACTGCACGTTGTGAATATTTAGCACCAAGTACACGATAAAAATCCATTACTAGCCAATTGCGGTATCCAATCAGGATACAGGAAGAAAGTTTCCTATCCAAGGTTTACTATTGGAAACGCGGTTGGAAATACAGTAAGCACTGGGGACGAGGTTGCGCAATGAATGAATGTACATGTAGTAGGATTATGACATCAGTTTATCAGGATGAAACGTATCTATACACATTGTAAAAATTGTTCTTCTTGCAATCTATTTGATAGTCTAGTTTACTTGCGAAATGAAAATGAGTTAATTGAAAAGTGTAAATTGCCCTTCTCCTTGTCATAGCAAAAGAAAAACCCTCAACAAGCTGTTGAGATATAAATCTACATTCTCTTACTTCCAGTACATTCTCCCGTATCCTTCTCACAGGAATCACCAGATGAACAGTGACATGTTTGCTTACAGTCGGCACCATACTTCCCTTCAGTACATTCTGTACGTTGTTGAACACAAAAAATACTCCATTGATTAAAGTTGGAAAATTGGGACATAAAATGCGCATGCCCATATAGGGTACAATGGGGGAATTAGCAACTCTCAACAACGATCGTTTGTAAAAACATCTCTGGTATTCAAAGTATCAGCTCACAGGAAAACAATTCCCTTGATGTAATAAAGATACGTACATTTTGTTTAAAATTTGGATACTCTTGTTCGGAATATAAACATCATTGCCTAGCACAATGGCAAAAGAAAACACTCATACAAATTTTGATTATTCCTTACCTTGCATACAGTCTAGTCCCATATACCCAGCAGCACAGGAGCATCCGTAAGGATCAGGAAGACAAAACAAACGACCCCGGCAAGCGTCGTTGTGTGGATCAGTGCTATCAGAACAGGTATGACTAGCATTCTGGCCAAAGACGTGACGCCCGTGAACTAAATGTAAGAGAATGACATCACCAGAATAACAATACGTCTAATCCAACATACAAAGTTTTACAAGAAGAAAATTTTGCAATGCCTAAAAGAATATAATGTTACCTTGCTGACAATATTCTCCACTGAATCCTGGAGCGCAGATACACGTTCCCGTCTTGTCATCACAGATACCTACATTGTAGCATCGACGACAGGTGTTCTGACATGAAGACGGGCCCCACATACCAGCTGCGCATTCTGATTAGCAAAAAAAATGAAAGAACATATTAGAGTTTTATCTTTATCTGATTCTTTTTAAAGCGACGACTTAAATTATCAACGACTTTAAGAATTACAAAAAAAAGGGAATGAATTTTTTTTTTTTCAATGAATGCTGCATGATTTGGAAAAATTGGCCGACTTTGGGAATGTTTCACGTTATATTCTCTTTTCTATCTCGTAAATAGCGCAAATGTCCAACTGCATACAGAAATCAGTGTAGGGCTACAATACGGTGCCGATCCTTAAAAATATCTCCGATTAAACAGACCAAAGTTTAGCCCAAACCAAATAAGAAAACAGTTAAAATTTACCTCTTACGATGAGTCTCATGAAGCCATGGAGTTGCTGATCTTCTTCACCATCTATGAAGCAGCTGTATATCCCCTCATTGGTCTTGCTGACATTCCCGATAGTCATGCTCAGCATGCCATCCCATTCCTGCACGCTGTTTGCATTGTGCTTCCATCTGTAGTCGGTGCTCGGTGAATCCACATCCTCCATCTGCAGAGTAACCGATTCTCCAATACTTGCTGTCTGTGTTCGAAGAACTGGACGTGTGTGAATGGTACCTGGTATGGAACAAACAAAACAGAATGATAGCCGGGCAATGAACTACAATGTAAAACGCTTCAGATCTAATACCAATTTTCCAAACATTTATTGAGCTTGCTATAGTTGCGCGAAAGCCTGTTTGGATAGCGGAAGGGGGTTCAACGAAGCTTTTAACTCAAACTAAAAAATCGAAATAAAAGATACTGGTCAATGGAATCTAATTTGTTCAGGCCTTTTGAAGAAATGTAATCTTTTTTTTCATAATAAAGCCCTGAATGATTAAGGATGGATTCGGTTATCGGTAAGGTCCGACACACCTTCAAACTTTAGAAACACATGCACGCGTAATGTTGGTCAATTTTTTGAAATACAGAGCATAGGCCTAATACGTTCACTGTCGATTTTAGATCTTTTAAAAGAGTCCAATACATGCCTTCAATCACAAGACTAGTAATTTCCTGCAATACCATTTGAATGGGATATTCCTAACTTCACGAATGTTTAAGTCCGATTTATTTCATAACAACAACAAATAATCATCCAAGGGAAAATGACTAGCTGCAAACGTAGTCATTGGATTGAACAAAGCAAAAATTGAACCCCGACCAGTCTTGAAGCTGCGACTTCAAGAAGATTTACGATCCAATCCCGATTCAGTAAATATTCTGTGCTCGATTTTATCCTTTTTAGCTCTAATACGTTGTTATTTTGAAGAAGAAGGGATGTGTACCATCTTTGCGTAAGATCACTGTGCGTATCGTGGTAGCCATGCCGTTTAGAGCTGCAGTGCCGTAGAAGACACCTGTTCTGTCAATCCCATCGCCCTGTGGTAAGCTAAGCAACCTGGCTGCACATCCCAAGTTGGCATCATAAAACCCAGACGATCCTGCAGGAAGGTTGTCATTGCTCCCTCCTGTCGTCAATTGGCGACCAAATGAGACAGCAGCGGCGATGTCTGTTGGACTTTTGTAGGCTGCTAAAGTTGCATCGTTGTCACCTGTGGCTCCAAGCCGAGCAGGATTAGCAACCAGAGTAAAATCTACACCGCCTACTAGATAGAAAAACGAAAAAAAAACAACGAATCTACAAGATATTGGACGTCCATTTGTAATGTGATCTAATTTAGGAGATATGTTTTTGGGAATTATTATTACTTTTTTAACCAGTTTTGCTATTCCGATGTTATGACTGGGATGTGATGCCGCAGCTGTCATTGACCTTTAAAACCAACTTATGGTAGCTCTATAATTGAGAACGTTCATGCATATTTTCAGCATAGGAACTTTTGCACTCATGTGCAGATTCATTCAATTCACTAAGTGGCAACCAGCTGATTTAAGAACTCGCACAAAGTTTTTTTCAAATTGTATTTTCACATTGATTAAAATTGATTACTTCTCAGATATTATGAATTTTTCAAAGCAAAAAAAAAAAATTGCAACATATTAATGGGCACTCTTGGTAATTCATAAAAAATAAATGTTTAATGTTGAATCAAATGTGAAGTTGGGAATCTGCGGTAGCTTATTTTTTTCCGGCAAAATTATCATTATGCAAAATTTTGGAGACATTGAAAATATATATGTTAACCACGATGTAATTGCCCTCGTGAATATCCTAAATTGTTCAAAGCAACATAACATAAGACTATTGTCTTTGCTTGTGTCGCAAACAAAGTGGGAATCCTTGCAAACATATTTTTATCCATCTTACCTGCAACAGAGGAAGTCTCCTCAGTGTCTTGGATTTCCTCCACCATGACTTCGGCCAGGCTCAGAATACCAGTTGTTTTTTGCACACTGACGTATCGAGCGGAGACGATGGGATCCGCGATGAAATCAATCACTGCTCCGTTAGTTGCCTGAGAACTTGTGACTGCATCTCCTATCTGTGTGTTCTGCGAGAAATCTGATGGATCCAAACCAGCCCGCACCACAGCACCTGCTAATCTGTAACCTGCAGTAATTTGTAACGCCGTAAAGTAATCGGAATTATTTTGAACCATTGGTTTTGCACTTCCCTGGTAATTAAAGACCCCGAATAGTAGAGTACAGTCGCATATCACCTATGACTATAATAAAGTTAGATATGTTTTAAGATTGGTATTTCTCTTTATCAAAACTTCAACATGTTCGTTGAAACTACACCAAATCTAAGTTACAGGAGGATTTTAAAAATAAACTTCGGGGAGCTGGGAGCTCACTGTATTGAATATTTGAAAAACCGATTTCCCACGTAAGAAAATGGAACTTAGGCTCGGGTGCAAATGCCCACCTGAGTCAGCTCGGCTGAATTGATTTAATGACAAAAATGCATCGCCTTAATGTTTTACACAAATTCCAACCTTACTCTATCATCAAAATACACACTGCGATGAAAACTGGATTGATAGTGCTAAAGGTTAACTTCACAAAAGCAAAATTTTCTTTTCTATAATCGCCGAACGCGGCTAGGAAGACATGCATAGAAAACTTACCCCCGCCATCGACTCTGTTGATTATTGTAATTTTCTTCAAGCAGTAAATAGCCTCAAGATCTACTCTCCACCACTGATCCGGGCCATTATCTATAACATAAATAACACATTTATCTACATTACCTCGTTTGGAGTAAGAGTGTGCAAACGTTGTTACGTCAAACAATTGTTTATCATACACAATTTAATTTGATTATCGAGTTGTTTTTATATATTAATACGTAACCTGTTCAGCTTGAGGAAAAGTCGGGACATGGTTCAAATCACGGCAGTATTGTAGTGTTATAAATAATAATCACAGGCATTTATTTCTGAACAGTTTCGGTAGTAAAATAAAACAAAATGTTACATTGCCGATACCTATTATAAACCCGTTTTGACCACATCCAAATTTGTAGCCACATCGATTTGTTTTTAATGCACTTGTTTTAATCTTGGCTTGCACTTGCACAATCACAGTCGAAAATACATGACATCACAAATCATTGATCCTTAAAAGGTTATTAAATGATCAAAGTTCAGATATTGTGAAACCCATGAAATTCGTTTTGTGGGACGTTCTTAGTAAGGAATTCATTAGCTATTCGTTTGTATGAGTTTGGATAATGTGGCCTTAGCAAAGCGGATGAATGACGCTCAAACTAACTAGAAGCTAAATACAACATCCCTGCTCAAGAAAAGGGACAACTATTGGAATTGATATAAATTATTACAAACTCTTTTTGAAATAGCCCAATCAATACCTGAAGGGACATCCCCCACATATTTTTCGCGTTTTGGATGGATGAATTTATCGTGTTAAGCTGTGCAGTTAATGGTAAATGAATCAGTTTAAATCAAATATTGGCCTACAAGGCTTAGTTGAGAGTGGGGAGGGCAGAAAAAGTGGGGGCGGTGACAAATAATATGATGTCCTTCCCCTGCTTGGATACGGAGAGGGAGTACATACCCCCGCCACGTCCCCACCCTGATAGACACAAATAATTACACGAGTTTATTTATCCACAAAGTAGGACACCCTTGTGTAAAAGAAAATAACTTTTACTTGTGTGTGAAAAGGTTGTTCGATCGCCATCTACTGCATTCTCTGGAAGCGAATCAGCTGGATTAGTAGTTGTACTCTGACTAGTCGGCTTGTTCTGCAGATTGAGGGCCAGACCTGTGTTAAATTTAAACGATATTATTAACAGTGTCCATACTTTCAATTTACATATCAGAATGCCTACCACACGAAGGCAGCTTGGGACAGTATCTTGGCGATTGAACACGAAATATGTAAAATGCAATTTGTATTTGGCTAGATTTGTTTTGGGGTGACATTATGTTTTGCCGTTTCAGATTCATGTGTGACATAAAACTATTTTTGCGTTCCCGCAAATTGCGTAGTTTATTTATTTCCCAAGCAATCCATTCCACTCCGTGCACAGCGTAATGCTTGCAGCGATCCTGTGTGCCCTCAGACAGCACGAAGCTTACCACGAAGTCTTAGACACCAAGGGCGGATCCAGGGGGGGGGGGGCAAAGGGGGCCATTGCCCCCCCCCCCCCCCAAAAAAAAAACAAAACACGAAACCAATTTTTTTTTTTTTTAATGTGACATCGCAATACAGGCAGGCAATGAGTACACCACCATCTTTTCCTCAAAAAACATTGGTTAAAGTGGTCAGAAATTGCCTCAGATCGCCCAACAGAGCATCTAGAATCCAAAAATTGTTCGGGGCCCTTAACCCTAAAGGGGCCGGGGGGCGGAATCCGCCCCCCCCTCAACATTTTCCGTGATAGCCTCTACAAAACATTTTTCGCGACCCGAGCTGTTTGACTTTTTAGCCTCGAGCTTTGCGCATCTTTTGATACCAAAAACATAAAAATCGGACCACGGGTTGCCGCGAAGCGAAAAATTTTCCGGCGCTACGCGCCGTGAAAACTGAATTTTCCCATATATGTCGTGTACACAGAGCAGAATTGCCATTCGTACATATGAATAATTAATTAGCCATAATTCCAAAACCCTTTGACCTATAGTCATGAAATTTCTTGGGTATGTTTATTCATAACTACCAGAATCCAATGCTCCCATTGGCTAAGACGCGTACTCAAAAGTCTATATAAGGCGCGCAAAAATGGCAGTTATGGTCATTGTTGTACTGGGCTCTCTTACCCAGTAGATCGTTGCACTGGGCTCTTCCCCAGTAGATTATTGAGTCGAGCTCTAACCTATACAAAGCGCCTGCACGTGTGGTGGATCTGGGCTCTGACCCCGACAGAGTTCCTGACATGTACACATAGACCTCTGTCTGAGCTGTACACAGATAATCATGTACGCCCAAACTAAACATTGTATATAGTGCGCCCTCTATTGAGCTGAGATGTAAACATTCCCGAATAAAGTACGAGCGTGTGTGTAAGATATTTGTATCTGACTCTTTATTTGATAATGTCTCTCACCCAAGAGAGACGTTACACTATTAACCAATCCTTCATTTTCTGGAGTCACAGAATGCGTTCTTACCACACTCTGGAAATATGCTGTAAAACATCAAGCTGACCTTAGCTTTAAGAAATGTATTGCAAATTCGTTTTGTTTTTTAAACTCAATTAGTTTGTACTGAATGAATCGTGGCCGCGCTGTAGGTGCTATAGATGCGGGCAAATTTAAGGATAGCTTAAATTAGAAAAAACGAAATGTGACGTGATCATCGAAATTCCAAAAATTGTAAACAATAATATTTTGAGAGAAGCGTTCATTATATACGGTTTTCAAATTAGAAACGTTAACAACTTTGATTTTATTGTTGTGGAAAAAAGAAAAGTTTTCATTTGAACAATTCTGAGCTCGGCTTAAAGCTGGGATAAAACAAATATATTGTAACGAAACATTGGACATAGTGCCAGTCTAGGGTACTGGTGCCCGCGTCGGTGGTCTCCGCGCTGCTACTGTATGCACGCGCTGCCCGCGGGTATAAAAGCGTGCGTCAGCCGCGCGCGCGAGACTCACTCACTCACTCACTCACTCGCTCTGTCAGTCACAAGCAGAAGCGCATGACACGAGTTATTTCTTGGGTGAGTCGTCAGTCAGTTCATGCAGGTCTGACAGCGCTGCGATTGATTATCCGCTAGCGAGTTAATCTAGAAGAGGGACCAACCGGACGGGCTGCCTTTACATCACTAGTTGGTGAGTTTACTGGCCAGGAAGAGTTAGAATAAGCAGCCAACATTGTGTCCACGTTAGAGTTAGCGATAGACGCCTATAAAGGAGTCGCCTGTCAAGGCGCACACAATAAAACACCATTGTTACGTTATATAAAGAGGACTGTGACTTAATCATTGTCTCCTGTGAGTTATTGGGCCTAATAGGGTGAGAGTGATTGAGTGCGAGTATCGCTGGTCCACTGCAATGCCTGGGGGTATACTTCCTCCAAACGAAGTAACGTCCCGGGTTTCCCGGTAACCGCTCATCGGGAAAGCCTAATCCTGTCAGCGTCCGTCCGGCGGCATCTCCCGGCTGGAGGCAGGGACGAAGGGTCGGCGGACCGCTACAAATTTGGTGTCAGAAGTGGGATTGGCGTTGCAGTGACATCAGTCACCATCAATCATCGGTAGAGTGTGAAGGAGTACTTCACCTACCTAGGCGTCATGGCTGTCAGCCTCATTGATTTTGATGGCGATTTGTCGGAGGTCGACCAGATTGACAGCGATCTTCAGCGAGCGACCCACGAGAGAGAGAAACTCAAGGTTGAAAACTACCGGTTACAACTTCAAGTACAAGAACTACTCGAGATACTCAACATTGGACATCGGGGTTCGGTGATGTCAGCGCCTGCTCTGCGGTCAAGAATTCCACCTACTCCAAAACCTAGAAGGAAATTTAACACATTCGCACCTCCACCTACCCCAGTGCCTACACAACCAGCTTCATCGACGCCTACGGCTGAAACCAGCAACCTTGTAGGATGGACACCTTCCAGATGTGACAGTGAAGTTCCGCCCTTGAGTGCAATAGAAGATGTCTCTCTGCGAGTAAATCATAGCGCCAAGTTCGAAGGAGGCGAGCTGGATCCATTTGGCGTCAGGGAGAAAACCACAACGAAGGAGAAGGGCAGCTGCGAGTCGAGCACTAGTACTAGTAAGCGGCCGAACATCCTACCAGACCGATTCAACGGGAAGACCCCTTGGAGGGAGTATAAGCAGCACTTCAAGGCGTGTAAACTGGCAAATGCTTGGACCGATAGTCAAGCGAAAGTTTTCCTTGCAGCAAGTCTCCAAAGCGAGGCAGTGAAAGTGCTTGGGAACCTCGCTGCCAGCGGCAAAGACGTTACCTATACTGAGCTGATGGGTCTCCTTGAAAAGCGATTTGGCCCCGGACAACTGGCGGAAAATCACCTAGTGGAACTTCGCCACAGGCTTCAAGGAGATAAGGAAACTTTGCAAGAGTTGGGACAATCCATACGTGACCTGTCGGCACTCGCCTATCCAGAATTGACAGACGACGGGCGAGATCGCCTAGCTAGGGGTCATTTTTCAGACGCAATTCGGGAGCAAGCCATCCGCGAAGGAGTGTTCAGGGCAAGACCGTCGTCACTGGATGAAGCCATCCGCGCCGCCTTAAGCACAGAGAGCTTCCTCAAGATTGAGGAACAACGGAGTGACAGACGAGTCAAGTACGCCCGAGGAGTAGACGGGATATCTAACAATCCTATGCAGGAGGTCAAGAGTGAAGAGAGTAGTAGTCAAGCAAAGGAGTCATTTATCCAGAGTGCAAGTGACCAAGAAGTTAAGGAGTGGCTCCAAAGGATGACAAAAATGCTAGAGGACATGAAGTCAAAGCGAAACCCAGGAGCGCCTAGAGGGCCGAGGATTGCTGCCAGGCGCAAGGCAACTCCCCAAGACGTGTGCTTCAAGTGCAATAACCGAGGGCATTTTGCACGGGAGTGCAGGAAGCGTGTCGGACATGACATCGACAGACAGGCGTCGGGAAACGACAGCCAGCTGGCTCCAAGGCCCGAGGGACAGCTGGAGAAATAGACGGGCCGAAACACCAGAACGGAGACAACCACGAGACACCAAGTAGGGATGGGAGAGATGTTAAGCCTACCGTTGGCCAAAGGGCGCGCGCTGGACTATTTGTTCAGGCGTTTATAAGGGGAGTCAAGGCAAACCTCTTGGTGGACACAGGTGCGACGGACACCGTCCTATCGTCAGAGTTTTACTACAAGATTCCCATTGAGAAACGACCTAAGCTGGAGAGTGGAGGTACAGGAGTTCGTAACGCTGACGGTAGCAACATGGAAACTCTCGGAAGAGCCTTGGTAGAAGTGCAAATTGGAAGGACGACGTGTCCCGTTCGGGCTGTTTTCGGCCAAATAGGTGAAGTTGAAGGAATCCTGGGAATGGATTTTCTGTTGCCAACGCAGGGTTCCTTGGACTTCCACTCACTTGAACTGAAACTAAATGGGGAGAAAATAACATGCAGTGGCCTATCAAGGATGCCGTGCACTCAATGTGGCCGAGAAGAGGGACAACAGGCAAAATGTCAACCGACAGACAACGATGAAGTAAAGAAAACAGAAACACCGTCGACGGTATCTCACTCGAGAGTCGTGACCGCACAACCGACCCTGAGATCAGAAGAGTTGCGGAAGGCGCAGTTGGAGGAAGAAGACCTCAGATGGGTGATAAAAGCAAAAGAAGAACATCAGCGAGAACCTGACTGGGCGGAAATGTCTGCGTTGTCGTCCAGGGCGAAGACTTATAGGCGCCACTGGGGCCAACTTGAAATCCGCAGTGGTGTTCTCTGCCGGAAATGGGAATCAGACGACGGGCACGAGGTGAGATGGCTCACGGTGCTACCAGCGAAATACCAAGACGAAATGGTGAATCAACTACATGGCAACACATCTGGAGGACACTTGGGCGTTAGGAAAACCTTGGCTAAAGTTAAGGTGAGATTCTACTGGGCTGGAATTTCGGCAGACGTTCGGTCCATCCTCAGGCGATGTAATGTCTGCGCCCGTAAGAAATCACCAACAAAGACCAGAAGAGCTCCCCTGCAGCAAAAGATGGTTGGAGCGCCTATGGAAAGGGTCGCCTTGGACGTACTTGGTCCTTTACCGGTTACCGAGAGAGGGAACAAGTATATACTGGTGGTGGGCGATTACCTGAGTAAGTGGACAGAAGCCTACCCGATCCCGGACCAAACGGCAAAAACAGTAGCCGATAAATTCGTGAAAGAGTTTGTGAGCCGGTATGGTGTGCCCGAGATTCTACACTCCGACCAAGGTCGTAATTTTGAGTCCCAGGTCTTCGCGGAAATGTGTCGCCTACTGGGCATCGAGAAAACGCGAACGACGCCGTACAATCCGAAGAGTGATGGGATGATTGAGAGATTCAATCGCACACTGGTCACAATGGTTTCTATGATGATAGAGCCCCACAGACGACAGCGAGATTGGGATGAAAAGATTCCACTGGCAATGTTTGCCTATCGTGCCTCACCACAGGAATCAACAGGTGAATCGCCTAATATGCTGATGCTCGGACGCGAGGTGCGCCTTCCCATCGACTTGGCTGTTGAACAACCCCGTGACGACCAACAAGAGGTTGAAGGCGAAGAGACTGACTATGCGCAACAACTGAGGGAGCAGTTCAGACTCGCGCACGGTAGGGCACGTGAGTGTCTGAAGCGGAGCGCCAGAAGGCAGAAGACTCATTACGACAGACGATCTGTGAAGTATAACTTGGTGGCTGGAGATTTCGTGTGGCTGCACAATCCGGCAAAGAGGAAAGGCTTGTCGCCTAAATTGCAGTGCCGATGGGAGGGTCCGTATCTCATCGTGCACAAGCTGTCCGATGTCATCTTCCGAATTCAACGTAAAAAGGGTGGAAAGATGAAAGTTGTGCATCGGGACCGCTTGAAGTCCTACATAGGAAATCCCCTAGTCTCATGGATTGAGAACACAACAGAGGCTAATGCAGACATGCTCAGCCAACAGCAGGAAACCAGCGTTCCAGCACAAGCGGAAGACAATTCCAGCCGGCAAATAGAGACGCCTACGACAGGGAGGCGAATTCCAAACCCAACCGCCCGTTCTTTCACCCCCAGAGTGTCACCAGATGGCAATCACCCTACTCAGGAGACACCATCGATTGTGATTCCAAGTCCCAAAACCCCATTGAGGCCTGAAAACTCGGAAGGGCAAACATGCCATACTGAAACCCCATTACCGCGTCGGAATCCCCCCAGGCATCGCAGGGTGCCCCAGAGATATCGCTAGATGTG